GTTTTCGGAATTGCATAGAAATCGGCTTAATTGTCACGCTATGTCTTAGATTCCTTCAGACCATTTAACATGCTCATTTATCGGATTTCAAGAAGAACGAGAAATAAAGTTAAATATTAATCATAGTGTTTTACAATTGAGATTTAAATCAGTTTGGTTACTATAGAAATGTGTTTGTTTATGTTACCAACTTTATTCGATCGGTCTAAACCCGTGTTAATTACCGAAGACAAACTGTCAAATTAACTTTTCCAGAAAAAATTGATTATGATATATGTTGTTAAACTAGGATCTAATTGTGTGTTTAAGCATTGGTGATTACCGTGAATTTTAAACAGGGAATCGATACGGGAATGAGAACGATTAACGTAATTATGTGTTTGGCAAGCATTTGAACTGATTCATTAATCGACTGTGTTCCTTGTTATACCATCCCCTCAATGGAGTTGTACCGGCGCTATGGGGCATAACGACGTGGTGGAAATATAAACATGTCGCCCAAGGAGAAAAGTAAAATAGAAAACAATATACCACAACGTAAAAACACCAGGATATATTGTACAACTACGTCAACACGCCAGGATATGGTATACCACAACGTAAAAACACCAGGCTACGTTATACCACTGCGTCAACACGCCAGGATACGGTATACCACAACGTAAAAACACGAGTATACATTTTACCACTGCGTCAACACGCCAGGATACGGTATACCACAACGTAAAAACACCAGGATACATTTTACCACTGCGTCAACACGCCAGGATACGGTATACCACAACGTAAAAACACCAGGATACATTTTACCACTGCGTCAACACGCCAGGATACGGTATACCACAACGTAAAAACACCAGGATACATTTTACCACTGCGTCAACACGCCAGGATACGGTATACCACAACGTAAAAACACCAGGATACATTTTACCACTGCGTCAACACGCCAGGATACGGTATACCACAACGTAAAAACACCAGGATACATTTTACCACTGCGTCAACACGCCAGGATACGGTATACCACAACGTAAAAACACCAGGATACATTTTACCACTGCGTCAACACGCCAGGATACGGTATACCACAACGTAAAAACACCAGGATACATTTTACCACTGCGTCAACACGCCAGGATACGGTATACCACAACGTAAAAACACCAGGATACATTTTACCACTGCGTCAACACGCCAGGATACGGTATACCACAACGTAAAAACACCAGGATACATTTTACCACTGCGTCAACACGCCAGGATACGGTATACCACAACGTAAAAACACCAGGATACATTATACCACTGCGTCAACACGCCAGGATACGGTATACCACAACGTAAAAACACCAGGATACATAATACCACTGCGTCAACACGCCAGGATACGGTATACCACAACGTAAAAACACCAGGATACATAATACCACAGCGTCAACACGCCAGGATACGGTATACCACAACGTAAAAACACCAGGATACATTATACCACTGCGTCAACACGCCAAGATACGGTATACCACAACCTAAAAATACCAGGATACATTATACCACTGCGTCAACACGCCAGGATACGGTATACCACAACGTAAAAACACCAGGATACATAATACCACTGCGTCAACACGCAAGGATACGGTATACCACAACGTTAAAACATCAGAATACATTATACCACTGCGTCAACACGGCAGGATACGGTATACCACAACGTAAAAATACCAGGATACATTATATCACATCGTCAACACGTCAGGATACGGTATATCACAACGTAAAAACACCAGCAAACATTATATATACCACTGCGTCAACACGTCAGGATACGGTATACCACAACGTAAAAACACCAGAATACATTATACCACTGCGTCAACACGCCAGGATACGGTATACCACAACCTAAAAATACCAGAATACATTATACCACTGCGTCAACAGGACAGAATATGTTATACCACAACGTAAAAACACCAGAATACATTATACCACTGCGTCAACACGCCAGGACAAATGTATCACAATGTCAACACACAGGGAGGGTAGTACGGCACCGTCAACATTATTTAAATAATATACCACAGCGTCAACACACACAGGAACAAAATATACCACAGTAACAACAAAGGGAGACGGCAAACCACATGTTAAACCTAAAGGGACACGGTATAACACATCGTCAACACAAAGGGACACGGTATAACACATCGTCAACACAAAGGGACATGATATAAAACAACGTCACCACAAAGGGACATGACATACAACAACGTCAACACAAAGGGACATGATATACAACAACGTCAACACAAAGGGACACGGTATAACACATCGTCAACACAAAGGGACACGGTATAACACATCGTCAACGCAAAGGGACATGATATACAACATCGTCAACACAAAGGGACACGTTATAACACATCGTCAACACAAAGGGACACGTTATAACACATCGTCAACACAAAGGGACACGTTATTACACATCGTCAACACAAAGGGACACGGTATAATATATCGTCAACACAAAGGGACACGGTATAACATATCGTCAACACAAAGGGACACGTTATAACACATCGTCACCACAAAGGGACATGATATTCAACATCGGCAACACAAAGGGACATGACATACAACATCTTCAACACAAAGGGACACGTTATAACACATCGTCAACACAAAGGGACACGGTATAACACAACGTCACCACAAAGGGACACGGTATAACACATCGTCAACACAAAGGGACACGGTATAATACATCGTCACCACAAAGGGACACGTTACAACATCTTCAACACAAAGGGACATGATATACAACAACGTCAACACAAAGGGATATGACATACATCTTCAACACAACGGGACACGTTATAACACATCGTCAACACAAAGGGACACGGTATAATACATCGTCAACACAAAGGGACACGTTACAACACATCGTCACCAAAAAGGGACACGTTACAACACATCGTCAACACAACGGGACATGATATTCAACATCGTCAACACAACGGGGCATGATATTCAACATCGGCAACACAACGGGACATGATATACCACATCGTCAACACAAAGGGACACGTTACAACACATCGTCACCACAAAGGGACACGTTACAACACATCGTCAACACAACGGGACATGATATACCACATCGTCAACACAAAGGGACACGTTACAAAACATCGTCACCACAAAGGGACACGTTACAACACATCGTCAACACAACGGGACATGATATACCACATCGTCAACACAAAGGGACACGTTACAAAACATCGTCACCACAAAGGGACACGTTACAACACATCGTCAACACAACGGGACATGATATTCAACATCGTCAACACAACGGGGCATGATATTCAACATCGTCAACACAACGGGACACGATATTCAACACCGGCAACACAACGGGGCATGATATTCAACATCGGCAATACAACGGGACATGATATTCAACATCGGCAACGCAACGGGGCATGATATTCAACATCGGCAACACAACGGGGCATGATATTCAACATCGGCAACACAACGGGACATGATATACCACATCGTCACCACAAAGGGACACGGTAGACCGCAGCGTCAACACAAAAGTATACCATATACCACAGCGTCACTACACAGGGTCTCAGGAGAGCAAAACTACGTTCTTGTGTTACATTGTATGTTCTACATGTATCAAATGATTGATATTTGTCTTTCTACACAACATAGAGCCGATCACGTAAGGTAGCTCAGAATGGTGATGTATTTGGAAACCTTAAGCAATATAAACGTTAGATTTAAATAATAATAATTCGAGGTTCTTATATACCGCTTTATCACAACCTAGTTCGTAGGTCATCTCAAAGCGGTTCACAAATTATCATCCGTGGTTATAGGGCCTTTGCAACCAGCCAATACATTTCTCAACTCCCTGGGGAGCATACAGCCGGTGCTGCCATTTCGGCGCTAACAGCTAACATTCAACAATTCTAGCACTGTCCAATCACGTACTCATTTACAGCTGAGTTGACTGGAACAAGCGGAGTGAAGTATCTTGTTCAAAGATACAAATGTACAACACAGTGCCGTGACGTGACTCGAACCCGCAACCCGTCGGTCACGAGTCCGGCGTCCTACCACTAAACTACCGTGCCTCCTTGATAGTTAATAGTTTTTATGTTTTTTTCTTCTTCTATACGTGGTATTCTATAACCGAGGCTCTGCTGCAGTTGAAGGAGCTTCCACACATTTTCAGACATCCAAACTACACTAACTTTGACTTGTGGTGATACTTCAGTGGATATTTCACCGTAAATGTGTGCTTGCCTTCACTGCATCCCGTAGATAATGTATTGATCTAAACATATTCTTATTGTTTTTAGTGCGGATTGATTTCGGTGTAAATCGAAGGTTCTTATACCTAAACGAGACCTACACCAGTATTTTTTTAAACTGTAATTTTGCAAAGCATAATTTCCATCCAGAAAAAAATGTCATATTTCCTTTAACTTTGTCTAAATTGAAAAAACATTCTCTATAATTGCTTTAGAGAAATATATAATATACATGTATATATGTATAAGGTGAGTTATTAGTATAGTGTATTATACAATATATGTATTGGCGCTCCCCTACCCAGCCCAATCCAATACGGACGTGTTTGGTTGTTGATGACAAGTTGGCGGTAAACAATGTCAATGTCAAATAATGGGTATTACACCAATATCCGACAGTTTTTCTGCGTGAATATTCAACTTTATTGTTTAATGTTTATTAATATGAAAACACATGTAATACTTCCGTTGTTACTACTGCTGTGACGTTACTCGTTTATACACCTAATATATATTACTGTAATTTTCTAATATACATCTAATAGTAAAGCCCGACGGTCGGTGGCGTTATATAATGGTTTGTAGCAGGTATATTCATTGTGTAGTGGGAAAACTAAAATCAGAAAATGAAATAACGTATAAATGACGATGTCACCAGTATCAGCTGGTCGCTCAGCAAGAAACGTTGGCTAGTCATGAATAAAGACCGCGCTCCGAAACGAAATATCGACGATGAATCGGAAACGGTATTACCTTGCAAAGTTGCTAAATGTGAGACGTTAGTAGATTGTGATCAAACTGTCAACGAAAACGTTTCTTCCAGGAAACCAAATTTGTCTTACATTGCGATGATTTCAATGGCTTTACAAAGTGTGCCCTCAAAACAGATGTTACTGTCGGAGATATACGAGTGGATTTCAGAACACTATCCTTACTACAGACAGGAGGACAGGAGTTGGAGGAACAGTATTCGGCACAACCTCTCCCTTAATGAGTGTTTCGTCAAGTCGGGACGGAGCGAAAGTGGAAAGGGAAGTTACTGGTCCATCCACCCAGCTAACATGGAAGACTTCGGAAATGGTGACTATCGGCGACGTCGTGCGAGGCGTCGCGTGCGGAAATGTGACGACGAGCTTCGGACACTGTGTGAACCGTCCTGTGTATCCGGTGAGTCCACGCTACAGACACTACAAGCGTCACCCGTTGTCCAGTTCTACTCCGGGTACGTTCCTATGAGCAGCACGTACGTGAGCACGAGTTATCTAAACTCCATGTTTGGGACGGAAAAAATCCTTAACAGGGAAAACCAGGTCAGAAATTTGCACCAGACCAACAGGTTTATATTGCCCAATACCGTTTGCCTTCCTAATCTCCAAACATTTACTGGAAACAGGCTCAGTACGGAGGTACGTGACACCCCTTCTGTACTTGTGAATGTGAATGTAAATTTGGACGGATTTCAGCCACAATTTGGATAGATACAGCTTTAATACATAGTGTCCCTTACTACAACCGTCCACCTTTTCCGTGTAATGCATTTGTAGTTTGTTATTTTATATTACTTTATTTATTTTTTTACATGGAAAAATGACTTTTTTATTGTAAAACATATATTCGAAAGCTTGTTATATTTGCTGTTGTTTTCATCGATTAAAATAACGAACATGTTTGATATAATTATTTACGTTTGTAAAATCATAATAAATCATTATAAGGTTTAACTTAATCCAATCGAGAGATACTGAATACTTGTTCAGTGTATGACAATTCGAGTTACTTCCCTTCTTTCAAACAATTCAGTCGTAAAAAAGTAGATTTTTGATAGTGAGTATCTCTTACATCTTTGAAATATTCATTTTATTTTAGCCACAATATTGAAGTTATAGTACCTAAATTTAAATATGGTGTATAGTTATGGGAAGAGCTTGCGATTTTGCGATATTGACAAAAAAATGAAACATCCGAATATTCAAGACCAAAAATATTATAAAGTGCAGAAAAAAATACAGGATCCATTACCTTGACGAACACCAATGATTGATTCTCACTCTCCGTCAGACATAACTTCAATGAAATCTCGTTTCCTAAACTATGTAACTGTGTAGGAGAAATTAATTATATGTAATCCGAATAGTTATAAAAACAAGCTGGCAATTCGATAATGGATGAGAAAATGGATGGAGTATAAGGCTTTTATAGATACAGGTTTCTCCATCCTCGTGCATAGCTATGTCTCAATTTAAGTGCCTTGAATTTCCTTAATCTGAAGGACAATCTTAATTGCGAAGCCACGTTAAGTTTCGAACACTTGAAATGTTTTCCGTTGCAATTTAAAATCAATATAAATCTGTTGGCGTGAGAGTTGGTGATGATAGTGTCTCTCAGAGGTGCGGCCACCAATCAACGCTACCCTATCCCTAATTGATCAATTTGGGCACGCGCGAGAGATAGTGTTCTGTTTTGGCTGCCTAGGATATGGTTTTGTGGATCAGGCATTGTATACAGAATGACGCCTTCCACGAACAGCAAATAACCGTAGTTTTTCCCCGAAAAAATCTACAGAATTTTTAATGCGAGTTACTTCCCTTTGAGCACAGTAGGAAGGAAAGCGTTGACTATTTTTGGCTGCATCATAGGCGTTTAAGTGTGCAATTTGAATATTATTGTCTGCATAGTAAATTTGAAAGTGTTAACTTAAACTGCGGTGCAAACTAAACATAACACTTTTCGTCATTATTGGAATACTTTGCAGTTTATATCATGGGTGATTATTTCATAACTTCCTTTAACGCATTTTACCTTTCATAACTTGAGTTAGATGAGTGTAGGTACATGTAATCCAATGTTATGCTTGATGTGATTGTACTTGCCTTTTGTTGCGTTATGTGTATTGATTAATTATTTTATTAAAAAAAAAATACAATGTAAACCAAGTATGATAAGTTTGCTTATTCTATGATGATGACGACGATGTCGTGGTGATAATAATAACGAAGATGTTAACGTTGTTATCGACGACGATGATGACGACGATGATGGTGGTGATGATAACAACGATGATGTTAAACTTCGACGGTGACGGTCGACGATAACAATATTAGTCAGTGTTGGTGGCGATGAATATACAATCTGATTAAAATAAGCTGTTACATGACTTCGTTACCATCGTACTACGCCTGAACTATGACATTCCAGTTCGCTGCCAACATTTTGCCAGCGCGACTCTGATTGGTTCATCTAAAGGTCATATGAACGTGACCCTGACCGCGACACATAAAGATGTTCAGTTGTAGTTCGAAGTTGACGAAACCATGTAACCTATGATTTTAATCAGAAACGTATGAATTAATGATGGTTGCTTCCACGTGATATATTACAGTTGATTCAACACAGTTATAACGATTTATCTCCATCATTTGTAGGCACATTGATTTCATGTAGGTTTGAGGCGGTTAAATATAACGAATATAGTTGATACAACACCGTTATAACGATTTATTTCCTTCATTTATAGGCACATGAAGTTCATGTAGATTTGAGGCGGTTAAATATATAACGAATATAGTTGATACAACACCGTTATAGCGATTTATTTCCATCATTTATAGGCACATTGAGTTCATGTAGATTTGAGGCGGTTAAATATATAACGAATATAGTTGATACAACACCGTTATAACGATTTATTTCCATCATTTATAGGCACACTGAGTTCATGTAGATTTGAGGCGGTTAAATATATAACGAATATAGTTGATACAACACCGTTATAACGATTTATTTCCATCATTTATAGGCACACTGAGTTCATGTAGATTTGAGGCGGTTAAATATATAACGAATATAGTTGATACAACACCGTTATAACGATTTATTTCCATCATTTATAGGCACACTGAGTTCATGTAGATTTGAGGCGGTTAAATATATAACGAATATAGTTGATACAACACCGTTATAACGATTTATTTCCATCATTTATAGGCACACTGAGTTCATGTAGATTTGAGGCGGTTAAATATATAACGAATATAGTTGATACAACACCGTTATAACGATTTATTTCCATCATTTATAGGCACACTGAGTTCATGTAGATTTGAGGCGGTTAAATATATAACGAATATAGTTGATACAACACCGTTATAACGATTTATTTCCATCATTTATAGGCACACTGAGTTCATGTAGATTTGAGGCGGTTAAATATATAACGAATATAGTTGATACAACACCGTTATAACGATTTATTTCCATCATTTATAGGCACACTGAGTTCATGTAGATTTGAGGCGGTTAAATATATAACGAATATAGTTGATACAACACCGTTATAACGATTTATTTCCATCATTTATAGGCACACTGAGTTCATGTAGATTTGAGGCGGTTAAATATATAACGAATATAGTTGATACAACACCGTTATAACGATTTATTTCCATCATTTATAGGCACACTGAGTTCATGTAGATTTGAGGCGGTTAAATATATAACGAATATAGTTGATACAACACCGTTATAACGATTTATTTCCATCATTTATAGGCACACTGAGTTCATGTAGATTTGAGGCGGTTAAATATATAACGAATATAGTTGATACAACACCGTTATAACGATTTATTTCCATCATTTATAGGCACACTGAGTTCATGTAGATTTGAGGCGGTTAAATATATAACGAATATAGTTGATACAACACCGTTATAACGATTTATTTCCATCATTTATAGGCACACTGAGTTCATGTAGATTTGAGGCGGTTAAATATATAACGAATATAGTTGATACAACACCGTTATAACGATTTATTTCCATCATTTATAGGCACACTGAGTTCATGTAGATTTGAGGCGGTTAAATATATAACGAATATAGTTGATACAACACCGTTATAACGATTTATTTCCATCATTTATAGGCACACTGAGTTCATGTAGATTTGAGGCGGTTAAATATATAACGAATATAGTTGATACAACACCGTTATAACGATTTATTTCCATCATTTATAGGCACACTGAGTTCATGTAGATTTGAGGCGGTTAAATATATAACGAATATAGTTGATACAACACCGTTATAACGATTTATTTCCATCATTTATAGGCACACTGAGTTCATGTAGATTTGAGGCGGTTAAATATATAACGAATATAGTTGATACAACACCGTTATAACGATTTATTTCCATCATTTATAGGCACACTGAGTTCATGTAGATTTGAGGCGGTTAAATATATAACGAATATAGTTGATACAACACCGTTATAACGATTTATTTCCATCATTTATAGGCACACTGAGTTCATGTAGATTTGAGGCGGTTAAATATATAACGAATATAGTTGATACAACACCGTTATAACGATTTATTTCCATCATTTATAGGCACACTGAGTTCATGTAGATTTGAGGCGGTTAAATATATAACGAATATAGTTGATACAACACCGTTATAACGATTTATTTCCATCATTTATAGGCACACTGAGTTCATGTAGATTTGAGGCGGTTAAATATATAACGAATATAGTTGATACAACACCGTTATAACGATTTATTTCCATCATTTATAGGCACACTGAGTTCATGTAGATTTGAGGCGGTTAAATATATAACGAATATAGTTGATACAACACCGTTATAACGATTTATTTCCATCATTTATAGGCACACTGAGTTCATGTAGATTTGAGGCGGTTAAATATATAACGAATATAGTTGATACAACACCGTTATAACGATTTATTTCCATCATTTATAGGCACACTGAGTTCATGTAGATTTGAGGCGGTTAAATATATAACGAATATAGTTGATACAACACCGTTATAACGATTTATTTCCATCATTTATAGGCACACTGAGTTCATGTAGATTTGAGGCGGTTAAATATATAACGAATATAGTTGATACAACACCGTTATAACGATTTATTTCCATCATTTATAGGCACATTGAGTTCATGTAGATTTGAGGCGGTTAAATATAACGAATATATAGTTGATACAACACCGTTATAACGATTTATTTCCTTCATTTATAGGCACACTGAGTTCATGTAGATTTGAGGCAGTTAAATATAACGAATATATAGTTGATACAACACCGCTATAACGATTTATTTCCATCATTTATAGGCAAACTGAGTTCATGTAGATTTGAGGCGGTTAAATATAACGAATATATAGTTGATACAACACTGTTATAACGATTTATTTCCATCATTTATAGGCACACTGAGTTCATGTAGATTTGAGGCGGTTAAATGTAACGAATATATAGTTGATACAACACCGCTATAACGATTTATTTCCATCATTTATAGGCACATTGATTTCATGTAGATTTGAGGCAGTTAAATATAACGAATATATAGATGATACAACACTGTTATAAC